CAGCCAACCCCGGAAAACAGACGCAATACAGATTTCCTACATCAATGATTTAGATTTATTTTTCTACTAATACAATTAGTAGAATCAGTATTTTGCTTGGATGCTAGTACTTTATTTCTGTACTAGTAGTATTAGCAGATGGAGTATTTTGTTTTAGTACTAGTAGTATTAGTAGAATTAGTATTTGGTTTCTGTACTTGTAGTATTAGTAGAATCATTATTTTATTTCTGCACTAGTGGTATTAGTAGAAGCAGTATTTTATTTCTGTACTAGTAGTATTAGTAGAAGCAGTATTTTGTAGCGTACCTTCCTCCGAAAACCTTAATAAATATAAATAAACGTAATCTTCAAGCATCTTTGATAGATTCTCCGCTCTTTATCTCTGGGCAATCAACACTAATCTTTTAGATTAACGTTTACCTTTTAACACGTTTGGAAGATCGTTTTTTTTTTTTTTTTTGTCATTGGTTTGTTCTTTTTCGAATGTTTTCATAACGCTTCCCCCCACCCCGTTATATTGTTATTCAAGACGACATACTAGCGGTATAGAATTATTAATAATATTGTTCTTGTTTATGTTACTGTTGTTGTTCTTCTTCTTCTTAATGTTTGTAGCAGTTGGCATTCCATTCTGAAATATTTTACTATGGTTCATATTTCCAGTTCTAACGAGATAGACTGAAACAGCAGAGGCTTATTTTTATCGTAGTCTAAGAAAGAAAGAAAGAAAGAAAGAAAGAAAGAAAGAAAGAAAGAAAAAAAAAGAAAGAAAAAAGAAACAAATAATGGTTTTATGTTTTGTGCTGTGATCTAAAGACTAAATAACTGATAGTTGTATCTTTGATGCTGTAAACAGTTTGGCCTCTTGAGGTCTAGTAGCAGTCTCTACCGTTCAGCGCTGTTCATTCTTTTAGTATCAACAGAGTTTTTGCTTAACGTTTTATATCTGATGAAAAGGACATTTACGAAATTTAGTCCGGTTCATTCGTGATATTGTGTATCAAAACTTATTTGCTGTTCAAAACCACATGACTAAGCATTGTTACAATCAATGATCGCAATTTGCCGAAAAGCGAGTACAGAAAAAGCTCATTGCTTTCCTGTTTTGCTAACAATTATACGATGGAAATTTCCAGGAATTTCGTTGAACAAGACTAACTGATAAGGATATTGATTTAGTAACCTGTTTTCAAGTCACTGTCAAAAAAAAAAAATATGAAATTACGATAACAAACCTTGCTTGGGATTTGATTTTTTTAATACGGAATTTCGATAACAAATTTCACTTAGTAATGAATTTTATTACGGAATTTCGTTAATAAAGTTAACTTACTATTGATTTTTAATACCGAGTTTCAATAATAAATCTCTCTAAGTATTGGTTTCGATAATGAATCTCACTTAGTATTCATTTTAATACAGTTTCAATTATAAATCTCACCTAGTATTGGTTTTTAATATGAAATTTCGATATTAAATCTCGCTTAGTTTTTATCTTTGATACTAACATTGAGTTTAACTAACAAGTTTCACATATTCTTTGCCATTTTGTTCTCTGACATGCTGACATCAGACAGTTGTGTCGTATTTTGTTATTATTTCTCTCTCTCTCTCTCTCTCTCTCTCTATATATATATATATATATATATATATATATGTTATAATAATGAATGGTGAAGAGTGGTTGTTTTGTTACTCTACTCTTTGAGAGAGCTATTTCTATTTACTGGGACTATAAAAGGACATTATACACGAAACTTTTTTTCTCAGTTCCATAAAGCTTTCTTAAAGCCTACACCAGCCTACTTTTGTTTACAATTATATATATATATATATATATATATATATATATATATATATATATATATATATATATATATACAGAGAGAGACAGAGAGAGAGGAGGGAGAGAGAGAATAATATCTTGTCTAAGTGAATGTGAAACATTTGCTCCTTCAGATTTTGATAAACGAGAAAGTAATATAATTATGCAAATCGAGTGAGTGTTTCTTAAGAACTCACCCTGGTCGCTGGTACAAGGACATTTGATCAGAGTTAGAGGCCTGTTTTTTTCGTCTTCAAACTCAGGATATGGTAACAAGCATTGCCGAACGACAACACTTCCCGCATCACTGAAGCATAAGCGTAAATACTAAAAATACCAAATAAAAAAAAACTGTCTGTTTGCCTACTTTTTTCTTATTTCGGACAAGTGTGTTATTCAGCCATTATATAAGCCCGATATAAATGGCCTATTTATTCTCTTTTAATGTTATTTTTCGTCATTTTATTAAAGTGTTGTTGTTGCAAATTTACGGTGCGTGTCTGCAATTATATTAATAGCATAGTCATTTAATGCTAACCTAAACAAAGGCGAAAAAAGTGTATACTTCATTTTTTTTCTCTTACTGCCCAGTGTTTGTTTTCCAATTTTAAAATGCTTTTCAAAGTAGAAGCACACATTTTTTTAAAGTTTTGCTTTATTAGCTAAAACTAATAACAAACAACACGACGTGGCGAAATATAGGACATGGAATAAAATCTATATGACTAAATTTAAACGTCTTAGGTCTTGTAGATTAATTGGTTAGGTGATGTGCATGCCAGCCAGCGAGCCTCCCAAATTTAAGTAATGCAAGTTTTGTTGACTTTATTTAATTCCTTTTATTTAAAATAAAAAGAAAACATTGCGTCTTATAGTCATGGCAATGATGAAATAACTTTTTCCATACAGAAAATATTAACCATTCATTTTCCGAACAGTTAGCATTTGTCGATTGAAATCTATAAAATCTTTTCCTTAAAAAGAGTTTTTTTTCAGAAAAATAGGCTTCTGTTTTCGCACATTCTAATGGGTGTTTACTGATAAACAGTGGATGTGCAGGTGGTGTAATGGATCGCGAATGAAAAATTGGAGAGCAGAGTTCGAATTCCGGTCGGTTTCGCTACATTCACTTACCCGCTAAATACCTTTGGGAAGGGTATTCATTTGCTAAACTTAACCTATTTTGGCTTATGTATATGTTGTAACCTAGAAAAGGTTACTGCAGGAGGAATAACCCAAACGGAGGTTGGAAATGAAACGGTAATCTTTATAACATCAACAAAATATATAATACTCGCCAGCGGCTTGAAGTAGGTAAACCACTGCCAGTAGTGGACTACGTAGAGACCATATTACACCAACTTACAATAGTGTCCAACGTATTTATGAGAATTGTGACATAACCCATTAATGTTCATAGGTAGGGTATATAACAGTATATTTATCCCGTATCCCAACGGAGACATGTGGTACAAGGTCGAGTTTACTGTGGGGAACCCGAGCACGTACACCCAAGCCAAGGACAAAAATTGCCCAGACCCTGCAACCGTCGGATGCGCTGACATCGGTATGCCTACCGATCCACTCTCTTTAGTGCAATGAGTGAGGGAGGCTTCAGCCTCGGGCAGCTGCTGTTCCTCATGACCGGGTACCTCGCAGTATTTATTTTCCTCAGCTGCATTTCTGTCTAGGTAAGTAGACGGGATGTGACACAAGGTCGGATTTAACGTGGGGAACTCGAGCGCTTACACACAGATTAAGGACAAAAATTATCCAGACCCTGCAACTATTTCAACATAAGGTTGTTGCAAAACTGGCAAGTCAAACAAAAATGTTGTTTTTGTTGTTTTTGTTTTCTGCTAATCGTCGTTATCAAGGAATTCTGACTTTTCAAAGCCTGTATCTTTTGAACTGCCGCTTAAACATCAACAAGTATATTAACACCTGTTCATGCGTGTAAAATACGTTATAACGAAATTTAAATTTATGAGCAAATTTTAATGCTTATAAAATAACAACAAAAACCACTACTACAACTTTCATTTGAAAATTTGATATCAAATTTGCTTTTCCTGTTTTCTTCATAAGCTTGCATAGCTACTTTTAAAATATTTACACCTCATGCATTTCGTGAATTCTACATGTACAAATAGATATACTTAACTTCCTCTAAATATTCAGCCTTGTCAACCATATTGTTTAGTAAATATTTGAGTTGTCACTATTCCCATAATGCTATGCTGTTCGTAGGGAGGATCACCTAACCGTGCAAAGCTTTTGAAAGAATACTACACTGCGGAGTAAATTTATAGTAGCAGACACATCACATACACACATATACATGTAGTACGCACCTCACCCAGATCATGCCAGAATAGACTTTACACTGTGTCCTACAATGAAGCCAGGGCTGAGGGATCACGAACAGGGCGTGGAGATCCGCGATTTAATCCCATGTCAGTGGTTGCCCTGACATGTGATCATATGATCGATCCAGCTGCACGCGCGGTTAAAGACCGATGTGAGATAGATATATAAATATCCATCCAAGAGGAACAGGATTGGACATCAACACGAAAATGTAGAGTCTATGTTCGGAGAAAGTGCCGGAGTTCACACACCCACTGGTCAGCGCTAATTCGAAATCCGGAATGGGATAAAATGTAAGGCTGCGTATAAGAAATTGAGTCTCCCGTTTAATTAGTCGATAACATTAACACACACACACGCGTGCGCACACGCGCACACACACACACAAACACACAAAACAAAAAAAATCACAGTGGACACGCCCAATAAAGTGAAAAAGATATTTGTAGTTTTTGAGACCTCAAAATGATTATCAGCTCGATTATAAACCTGTGATAATGTTATTTGTACTTAAGAGGAAGACTAACACAAAAATTTCATATTTCTAATTAAAAAATAGTTTATCGATTGGTTAATTTGTTTTTCACGGTTTATCAACTCTTTGTAGGTTATTTAAAGTCAAGAAATATTTTTAGATTGTAAGAATTTTTATGGTGATTATAATGGTTTTAGTAATAGAAGCCTTACTATTTAAGCTGGGAGAGAAGAGGTGGATTCATGCCTTTTCCCAAGGGTATCTTTGGAACTCGGCTCTCCGATTAACAATTCCGAGGCATTATATACTCCACCACATGCACATCTAAGCTTACTGCACCTGGTATTCCCAAGCCGTCAGCCTTGTAGGTGCTGACCAGGCTCAACATTGCTTAACTTCGGTGATCGTACGGAAACCTGTGTTTCAACGCAATGTGGTCGTAAATCAAAATAGAGATTTACGTCTAGAAACCCTGACCTTCACGGAAGAGCCCAAATTCCCGAAGTTATTACATTTTACATTTAACCCATTTAGAGTATTTTTCGAGTGATTTTCAATGTCAAAAATGTATTCTGCACCCTTAGAAATATAGGGAAAAAGTTCTAAATCAGGAATTTCTGATAAATATGAAAAAAAAGTTATCTTGAAAACTGATAATTGGTGCCCGGGATATGACAACCAAAGTTGGTATATAATGCAATATAATGGCTAGCCATTTGGATTTGAGTATGACTGTCTACAAGGGCGATTAGCCAATCCCTGTTGTAGACGCCTGCTCAGGCATATTTGTGTTGGCTCAATATCCACAGAGTCCACCTGTGGTTTGTACTGCAACAATGCTGAGCGGGCTTTAGTTACAGTTTCTGGGAGGGAGCATATTATATGGCGTGATGAACAGCCTGAACAAGATCAGACTTGCGACTTCGTGCTAGCACAACTATCGACGGCTCCCAGATAGTTCCGTCTACCCAATTTCATTCACAAAGAGCTTGGATCAACTTTCCAAAGGTGCTGCACGCTGGTATCGCCTCTCCAGGATGATAACATTAAAAAGTTGCTAATGATCAATTTAATGTATGAAAGCAATTGAATATATTTCAAATATATATTCCCGAGAACAATTTTATTTGATTTGACAGATTTAAATTGTTTTAATATTTGGAAACTTACACAAAAAAGCAGAAAAAATTATCCCGAGCATTTTTCTTAGCGTTATTCTAAGTTTAGGGATCAGAGACAGAAATCATTTTAATTAATATGACTAAATTTTGTGTTTTAGGGCCACCAAATTCCCTTGATATGGATCCTTTGTAAAAAGAATATCCAAGTTAACCTTTGTTTGCTACTTATAACATCATTGATTTCGACAAGATTTCAATAACTCTTTATGCAAAAAGAAGCAGAAAAACTATCATATAGGAATAAAGTGTCGCTGTCGACACTTGGGTTTGAACACGGATCGCCAGAGAGCAAGTAAAGTCGACCTCATCTTGAAATAATTAGATCACGTGACGGGTAAAGGAAAATATATATATGGAAATTGGAGGACATCTGACCGAGTATTTTTCGAAGGCGTTACTATTGTTGTATCTGTGGTTTACAAAGTCTCTCCTACAAACGGACATTTAAAAAAATCAATTATCCAGAACTGATCATCGAAAAATAAATGATTAAACATATGAGAATTTTTAATTTTCAGCGATCATAGCTTGACAAATACTTGGAGTTAGAACGAAGTTAGACCAATTCAGAAACCCTGAAACTGATTACTTTCAGTTTAGATCAAGTGCATATCACTTGGGTAATGTCCCCAAAATACCAAATGTCCCTTTGCAAGCCTACGGCGTTTGGCAGAAGGGATCGAAGTCGATTCAGGTGGTGTCGCTATAAATACAAAACTCGGGGAATCAATAAAAATCACTCTCATCAATCAGCATAACTGACATCAGATTATTAGCAAGGTTAAATTACTAACAAGATGATAAAAATGTAGTCATCTTCCATACTAGATATATATTTATCTGATGACACAACCAACCATAAGAAGGATTTTTTGTAGTCTTTAATTACAATGTTTCATCTGTTAACTTTTACATGTCTGTGACTATTATTATTATTATTAGAAGTAGTAGTAGTAGTAGTAGTAGTACTCGTAATAGTAGAACTCTTGAAATTTCACTGTTTTGCAATTTTAATTTTTCATAAATCATAATTCTTATTTAATGATTGAATTAGCTCCTTGCAAGTTTTACGACTATAAAATAGCAGTAGAAATGCTATTATTGCATCGTTAAATATTTGAACTTAACATCTTTAACAAAATATTGCAGTAACAATCATAAGTACAAATGTAGGTCATTATTTTAAAAAGTAAGACGGTACAAATGAACATATTTGAAATAGAATAGTTTTTTTTTCCATTTCAGTGAATCAGACGTTAAACTCATGACAGCCTTATTGCCTCTTTGTTCTACCCTCTCTTTCTTTTTTTTCTCAAGGAAAGCAAAAAGCATCTCTGATGTCTTTCCCGTCTTTCCTCGCAATATAAGGACAACTATTTTTTACTCTACAATTACAAAGGACCTTATTTTCACTTCTCACGTCCTCTTCAAGAATTGAATTTCTTTTCTTTAATCTTTTGATAATATTTCCTAGGTTTCTAGTGCAACTGGAGCTCAATTTGGCTGTATTACGGTTAAATAACTTGTACAGCCCGGATGCTTTTGAGAAGTGCTTATTTAGAAGGCTAAAAAACATTTTCCCTATATTTGTTTTTACTTGCATGTTGAAGGGTGGATTGAACCAGATGACATTCCTTTTTCTTTTTCTATTGTTATTTGCTCTTGGGTTTCCGTCGTCCTTGAAATAATTGTCCCTTAAATGGCGTATGTTGTACAGAAGGGGTAGTGTATTGTGCTGAGGTAGAAAATGACAGTGGCAGTGCAAAAAATACATTGGTTGCACCGAAGGCCAATTTAAAAAGAGGTGGTGCAAACATACCTCGTCATTTAGAATTCCAGAATGCAAGTTCAATACGAAGCTGGCGAACTAATATTGGAACTTTAAGGGGGAAAAAAATGAAAGAAGCCCGGTCATTAAGTGGAGTATTTTACGGAATGTAAAAGCTAGTAAAGTGAATGGCAATTCATGTAGGCTGTGTCAGCAGGAGAAGCTAGCTATTGCAACATACAAGGGTAGTTGTATAAATATATTTCATTTTGGTCAAAGGGTGGGGGATTACAAACCCTCGACTTAAAATTATTTTCCCTTTTATTTAATTTAAATTTAAACAAGGGAATCACTCCTATCCTAAATATAAAAGGAGAAAACCAGAAGATGGAGGTCACATTGGCAAGATCATTGAGTAATATTGAAATGCGTCATTTTTCTTCACAAATTATAACGATTTAAAATCAATCACCATTTTTTACAAAAAAAATGTGTGACCCGCAGCAAGACGCGGGTAATTCGGCTAGTATATAATAAAATTAAAAACGACTACCTTGAAAAAAGCAAATATATGCACTATATACAACGTAGATAATGTAATATACTTTAGGCAAAGCCAATACAAATAAGATAAACAACCCCCGAAAAAATATAAATAAAATAAACAAAACATCTAAATAAATAAATTATGTAAATAATGAACAAATTAACAAACAGCGAAGTAAATATAATAATAATAATCAACAACTATTAATGAAGTAATCAATAATTAGAAAAAAATTAACAAAATAAGAGTATAAAATAGCTAAAAATAACCACATTCGGATCCACAATTATTTCCACCCACTAGCCTCTATAAAATAGAATAATTTAAAATAAAAGTTATCGCTTACTCGATAACCGTTAAGATAACATAACAGATGCTACTACCCATAATGCACCATTAACCAACATATATAAATAGTCGAGCCAAAACACAACACACATAGCCTGAAGATTGCGTTCAAGCATGAAACAGACTGTGATCGATTGATGTTGACCTCAATACCTTTTTCTAAACCAGTAATTTTCAAGCTATCGTTTGTTTCGCTCTATGTATTAATCATTAAAAAAATGTTTAAGACTTGGAAAAATTTTCTGAAAGGAAATTCAGCGAATAAAACCCGGAATCGTTCTTTTATTAAAGAATACACAATTTCACTGATAACGTAATGACAGATGAAATACATTATTGAATGAATGACGATACTGTGAATAAAAATGTTTCAGAAATGTTGGAAATTTTTACATTAATTCCATTTGTTAAACTTAACACTTACATCTGATTATTAGAAAAGTTAGATTAATAACAAGATGATAGAATTCCACCTGATGAAAGCCGGCGAATAAAAAAGCCGAAGTGTTAAGTGGTGGTAGTTGGGAAGGAATCAATAAAAAAGATGAGAGTAATTTGCACTGATCTAATATTTTTGTTTGCTGTGTCATATTTAACTACAGACGAATATTACAAATAAATGGTTGACTGCCAGAATGGAATGTTATTCGTTCTATTTGAAATATTTTGCAATTAATATGACTGCCTCGGATCAGGGACAGAGCCAAGATGTTGTCGCTTCTTGTGTTACGCTCTTGCATCTTACTATATTCACAAATACAAAAGACTATTGTCTAGTTTACAATACATGAACAACAGTAATACGATGTCTTCTGAGCCGCTTAAATGACAATTAACACTTACATATGAGACTTTTCACTTTAAGATTCTGCAAATAAGATGCTATTGACAAAGTTCCGTTAACAGAAAAACAAATATTACACATGGGGAAAAGTTCCCAGTCCTCTTTAACAATAAATAAATAAATAATGACAAAAGATACAGCAGTCATGATCAAAATATTTCAATATTTTAATTCATTCGTAATATTTCAATAACATCTCTATTAGTTCGTAATATTTCAATAATATTTCAACTCGTTCTTAATATTTCAATAACATTCCAATTCATTCACAATATTTAAATAATATTTCAGTTCGTTCTTAATATTTCAAATTAATTCATTATATTTCAATTCCTTCGTTATATTTCAATAATATCTCAATTTCTTCATCATATGTCAATAATATTTCGATATTTTCATAATTCAATTCGATCATCATATTTCAATAATATTTAGATTCATTCATAATTTTTCTATAATATTTCAATCTACTTATAATTTTGCAATATTTCAATTCATTCATTGCATTTCAATAATATTTCAATTCATTTATCATATTTCAATATTCCAATTCATTCATATTTCAATTCATTCCTCATATCATATTTCAATTCATTCATATTTCAGTTTATTCATCATATTTCAAAAATATTTCAATTCATTCATCATATTACAATAATATTTCAATTCATTCATATTTCAATAATATAACAAGTTATTCCTCATATTACAATAATATTTTAATTTATTCATAGTATTTCAATTCATTCATAAT